TCTGTATATAAGTCTGTATATAAGTCTAAGTGCTATTGCTATTATAGAAGCATACAATGGACTTTAGCTGACTGTGATCTGCAGTTCGGCGGTTCAAATCTCACCGGCTCAAGGTTGACTCAGCCTTCCGTCCTTCCGAGGTGGGTGAAATGAGGACCCGGATTGTTGTTGGGAGCAATATGCTGACTCTGTAAACCGCTTAGAGAGGGCTGAAAGCCCTATGAAGCGGTATATAAGTCTAACTGCTATTGCTATCTCACCGGCTCAAGGTTGACTCAGCCTTCCGTCCTTCCGAGGTGGGTGAAATGAGGACCCGGATTGTTGTTGGGAGCGATATGCTGACTCTGTAAACCGCTTAGAGAGGGCTGAAAGCCCTATGAAGTGGTATATAAGTCTAACTGCTATTGCTATCTCACCGTCTCAAGGTTGACTCAGCCTTCCGTCCTTCCGAGGTGGGTGAAATGAGGACCCGGATTGTTGTTGGGAGCGATATGCTGACTCTGTAAACCGCTTAGAGAGGGCTGAAAGCCCTATGAAGCGGCATATAAGTCTAACTGCTATTGCTATTGCATTAAAGAGAATCTCATCTTTATGATTTTCAGGGGGGGGGGGGAAATCTTTCAATTGTGAGGGTTGGAACTCCAAAAGGCTTAAAAATAAAAGTTCCCATTGGACAGGATGTTTGAATTTCATGTATTTCCCAAACCTTCCATTCCTGCTAGTGGTTTAATTTTTCTCCCAAGCCCATTACTAGTTCCCCTTTATTATGGTTTTACACCAGTCAACGTTTGCCAAAAAACAAAGTTTTCCAAGCTTCAAACCAGACTTTTGGAGTACATAAGATCAAACTATTGTGCTTTGATTTGATAATGCTACCATTTTACAAACACTTTTTACTCTTTGGGAGTTAAAGCAGCAGATTGGACGGTTATTGCTGAGTATATAAGTATCCATATGCCACCATAAGAATCATTCCTTTGAAAGATACAATCGCAATCGAATCACAGCATTTTGTCACAAAATCAATAAACAATAATCAGCTCCAAAAATTTTCTAGATTATTTCTTTACCCTTATAACCCTGCATTCCGAACAAACTATGTACAAACTTCATTTCTAATGAGAGCTCCCATTACCACATACCTATCAAAAACACTCCAATCGCTCCTATGATTGAAATCATAAATGTGGCACAAAATGTTAGAATTAGACACAGCCTGGCAAAGTCCTCTTGGATTCCTAGAATAAACTTGTGGGAACCGAATTTGAGTGTCTGAAAATCATAACATAGCTTTTTTCTCCCCCTTTAAACCCACGGCAATTTGAAGAAAAGCAGTCAGCAGAGAGTGCCCCCCCCCCATATTTCATTCCATATTAAGCAGGGGCCTGTTTTATCCAGAGTTGTATGAACTGTACTTCCACATCCATTTTTCCCTGTAAACAATAGAACATAATATTATTTATTTAACTCCAGGGCCAGCCACAGCTTTGTAAAAATGTCTGTAATTACTGAGTTTCAAAAAGGGGAGGGAAGCTTGCTGTAGTTATCTTGCTTGCATAAAAAATCCATCCGAACTTGCCGAGAAGCCAAGGAAAACACAGTTGGCTAATGGGTTTGCCTCAAATATAAAATCCCTTAACAGCTCCAAGTTTATTAGTGCCCATTTGCTGAACAAACCTTGGCAGGAAGGCTGATTTTCCATTGGCATGAAGAGACTTAAAAGAGGCTATTTGGCAGGTCCAACTTTTCAGCAAACCTGAAATCTAATTCGAAGGCTTTCCTAATCTCTAGGACTGGGTAGATCTTGGTTGAAAGTTCAGCAGCTTCGATGAATGGAGCAGAGGAAGATATTGGATGAGACAGATGAGAGGGAAGACTGGGGGGGGAATCAGTTTCTAGGCTCAGCAGAGGGATTAGAGATTGAGGCCTCCCTCGATCTATTTTAGAACTAGGCCATTCAAATCAGATTAAATTGGAGGGCGGCTGCTTGACGCCAATCTAATTTAAAATGAACCCCCTCCTGAATTGGCAGGATCTTTCATCACATTTCCAATGAGGTTCTCAGGAGCATGATGAATTTCTAGAATAGCCTTTGCTGCTGCCTAGATGGGTGGAGACTTCAATTCCCAGAACCTTCGGGTAACAAAACTGTAGAAAGAAGAGCTTGATGCAGAGATGTCTTATTTTTTATTTTGCTCTTGTATTCCTTGGAATTAGTCACGCCCTTCATTATCTTTATACATTTATCAAAAGCCAGGAGGGCATCATGGAAGCCCCTCAGGAGACATGAAGCCTCAAACTGGCATCTTGATGTTAAGATTATACAGTTGTGTCCAAAATGTATTGGATGCGTTTGGATAAAAAACGCTTCTCTTTGTACAATGGCAGCCACTTCGTGCTTTATAAAAATCACAGGATGTGTGATTGTGTCCAGTTTTAATAGCAATAGCAATAGCAGTTAGACTTATATACCGCTTTATAGGGCTTCCAGCCCACTCTAAGCGGTTTACAGAGTCAGCATATCGCCCCCAACAACAATCCGGGTCCTCATTTTACCCACCTCGGAAGGATGGAAGGCTGAGTNAGGAAGGAAGGAAGGAAGGAAGGAAGGAAGGAAGGAAGGAAGGAAGGAAAACAGCAATAGCACTGATACACTGCACAAACATTGTTACACTGACCCACCAATGTGGAAGTATTGACACACTGACACATCAATGCAGAAGCATTGATAAACAGATACACCAAACTGTAGGCTGTACTCTCCCATACTGCATGGCTGACACGATGGCATGAGCTTCATGTTTTACATAACTGTTACTTAATAAAAAGAAAAGGCAAGAAAATAGATTTAAGATGCGGATGTGAGAGATTTATTCAGGTTCATCCACGTGAAGACATCAGACACCACAGCGCTGCGATGGGTCATCAATTCTATAGTGCTCTTGTTCACATGTTACTGGATTTATCACCGTTTTGCACCCTTCGATAAGTCCAATGCCACCATATCTTTGAAGGAGGAAAAAGGAGGCAGAAGAAGAAGAAGAAGGAGGGGTTATGGTCAGTCAAAGTTGATTTTAATTGGGAAATGCCTCTAAGATTATTTGCCACCTTAGAAAGAGACTCAAGTCAAGGTCCAACTCTGAGGAAAGCTGAGATGCTCTATCTGAAACATGGAATATTCCTCACAGCCACCCAGGAAGTCCTCCCGCACCTGCCCCTTACCCAAGAGACACCTGATTACCCAAAATAGGACTGCTGGTCTGTTATCTGCAGATGCAATAATGGCAGAGAAGTACCATATTTTTCAGATTATAAGACACACCTAGATTTAGAGGAGAAAAACAAGAAAAAAAATAGTTATTGGCCTCCCAAGCCCTCCACATCAGAGGTGGTATTCAGCAGGTTCTGACCAGTTCTGGAGAACCGGTAATGGAAATTTTTAGTAGTTCGGACAACCAGTAGATACCACCTCTGGCTGGATCTGCCCCATCTATTCTCTGCCTCCTGAATCCCAGCTGGTTTGGAGGAAATGGGCATTTTGCAGTAACCTTCCCCTGGAGTGGGGAGGGAATGGAGACTTTACAATATCCTTGCTCTGGAGTGGGGAGGGAATGGAGATTTTGCAGTATCCTTGCAAGCCACACTCACCAAGCCATGCCACGCCCACAGAACCAGTAGTATAAAAACTTTGAATCCCACCACTGCTCTGCATGTCCAGTTTTCAACAAAAACAGGCCTGTTTTTGACCTGTAGAATGCTTCTGGGCGCCAGAGAGGGCAAAAACAGGAAGCGTGGAGTGTTCAGGAGACCAAAAACAGGACACAAAGAGTTTGGGAGGCCTATTTTTGGCCTGCAGAGTGCTTCTGGGGGCTTGGGAGGGTGAAAATGGGATGGGCAGAGGGTTTGGGAGGCCTAAAACAGGCCCGTATTCAGTCTATAAGACGCACAGACATTTCCACCCACTTTTTTTTTGGGGGGGGGGACTATGATTTATACTCCAAAAAATACGGTAATCATATTTTCCTACTCCTGTCACCAGAAGGTAAATCCTAAGAGAGGTTCTTATTTGCCATCTTTGGCTTTGCTCTTTGTCTGCCCCCAGCAGTGTTCTAAGTTTCTCTAATGCAGAAGAGTTATGTAGAAGATTTATCCATGTATACCTGAATATATGCTATCTCAATAGATGCTTCTGGCTTAACCTAAGTGAAAACATCTTCATCTTTTAATGACCCCATAATCCCTTGCGGGGTGGAGTCTGAGCAACTGAATGGAGCTGCGTGTCGCCAGTTACCCTTCCTGTCGCCAATGCGGAGTTTTGTTCAGGAGATATATTCTCATCATGCCCAGAGAGAGAAATATCTTCCTCTGCCTAGAATTGAACTCACAGCCTCCTGATTGTGAGGCGAGAAGCTCCGCAGCTGACATTAGAACACCATTTGTCGGCTGTGACCAGGGGGGCTTTTGCCCAGGTTCGCCTGGTCCACCAGTTGCGGCCCTATCTGGACTGGGAGGCACTTCAAATGGTCACTCATGCCCTCGTCACCTCAAGGCTCGATTACTGCAACGCGTTCTACATGGGGCTGCCCTTGAAGAGTGTTCGGAGACTACAATTGGTCCAGAATGCAGCCACGCGAGCGATACTGGGTGTACCTAGGTGCAGCGTACAGGAAAAGATATAGTTTTTCATCTAAGAAGTTAGATCAAGAAGAATGAATGTCATAGGTAGCTTCACAGAGCAATACAGATTTCTTTTTCTGAAAC